CAACCATACATGAGTTGAAAATAAAAAATTAAATTTTATGTTTTTTTAAGTGTGATAGATGTTATTTTTTTAAAATAATTTTTATTTGAAGATATATTAAAATATTTTTTATTTTTTATATTAATACATTAAAACAATAAAAAAAATGTTAATATGAAGCTTTTTCAAAAAAAAAAGTGCGGTCCAACTCACTCACAGACAGTCCCTGAAACATAGTTGTTCTGCCTAATGATTGTTTTAATTGACAAGGGACCACCGTCGACACCTGCATTGTCCCTTTTGTTTTACATGTCCTCTTTTTTCTAGCATCTATTTAATATCATCATCGTTTAATTCATTAATGCCTTCAACTTTAACTGCTGCTGTTGCGTCATCAAGCAATTTAATATTTATTTGTTTGAGACATGTTATTTTCGGTAGATGGGCCTGCTATCCTTATCTATTACTTCATGAATTTGAAAATGTGATAAAAATTAATTTATAAATATATTAAAATAATTTTTTTTTTAAAAAAATATTTTTAATATTAATATATCAAAACAATTTAAAAATATATAAAAAATTATTAAAAATAAAAATAATAACTAAACTTTCATAAAAAACTGACATGGTCATAACTCTAAATAAATAAATAATGGGTTGGTTAAAAAACCTTGATTTTTATTAAAATAAATTTTAATTTTAATTAAAAATTATTTATTTGACTAAACCTGGTTAATCCCATCAACTTAGCCAAATTGAAGAAGAATAATAAAAAAATAAAATATTAAAAAAAATCATAGCTTATAGTAAAAAGTTTTTATCCAATTACCTTGTAACCCAATCAATACTAATTAGGTTATCCCAAAGTTATTTTTATTATGTGGTTTAATATATATTTTAAAGTGCTTTTAAAATTATTTTTTACTTAAAATATAAATTTTAATAATTTTAATGTTTTAATGTTAAAAAAAATTAAATTTTTTTTAATAAAAAATAATTTTAAAAGGTATTTTTCATGAATTACCAAACACATATAAACTAAACCATTTTTTAATAATATATTTGGTGATGTGGTGGGTAATATTTTTTAATTTTAATTTTTTTGGATTGAAAATGGATTATAATAATTTTTTATTTTTAAATTTCATTAAAAATATCTAGTGGTATAAATTATTTTTAAAGCATTTTTAATTTATAAATATATCTAAAAAATATTTTTTTATTTTAAAAAACTATTTACAACATCACATCAAAATTATTAAAACATAATTTAAAATTAAAAATACTTGTGATTCCTGGATCGAGAATCTCGAGAATCCCAAAGTTAAAGTAACTCCGAGAACTGACAGATCCATGACTCGCATGACATTTAGGGCCCGGAAAAAGGTATTAGTAGCAGCAATCGCATTATTTTTATATACATATATTTTTTTATTCTAAATATTTGTGTATTTCTGCTTAGTTTTCATTGATCCAAGATCGTCGACAAACCATCTATATTTAAAATAATATGCCTCACAAAATTTCGAAAAAACCCCTTTTCTTATGTTTCCACGTTGAAATAAAATAAGAAGAAATTGGTTGGGATTTGACGAGAAATTAACAAAATAATTAAAGGTTGTAAGTCACGCCACCCACCTGAATTCTTCATGTAATCTAGTACGAGTATCAACACAAAATATTCACTAAGTTTTTTTTCCCCTTTCATGGAAGGAGAATGAACGAGGGTATGTGGTCAAGCACCATGCAGTGAGAGACTAATTTAACTGTTTGTTTAGTATGGTGGTGTATTGTATTTTTAAAATAAAAATATTTATAAATACTTGGGAGTATGAATAAATTATTGACAGGTGAGGTATTGCCAGCAAAAACAAATCTTGAAAATAAAATATTTTTAAATGATATAATTGTTTTTTTTGAATTTATAAAAAACATTATATCTTTTACTTTGATTAGTAAAAGATTTTAGTGCTCAAGTATGATTGGCAATTAAAATATAAATATAAGCTTGCTAAGCTATTTTTAAAATTGAGTTTATAATCTCTTTTCTTTTATATTTTTACTTTAAACACTTTAGTTATGTTGTTGTTTATTGTGTTACATGCTATTAATATGTTTATTTGCATTATTCAACATAATTAGTAGAATACTTAATTCTTTCTCTCAAGTGTTATTGTTACCTTAATTTTAAAATAATATTTGCCATCTTGGTCTTGCACGGTCTGGTTTTATAAATCTGTATTTATTTATATTCTACTAGAATTCATTTGTTTTTTGTTTTAAAAATGTTTTTTTAAATTGATTTTTTAGTTTTTTCTTTGATTCATATTGTTTTTTTTTTATAGATTTTTTAATTTTTTAATATTAAAAATGTATTTTTAGATTTTTTAATTTTTTAATATTAAAAATAAATTTTAAAAAATTATTCAGATATATTTTTAAATAAAAATAATTTTTACTATCACACTATCAAATAATCAAACAGTAATCCACATAAAGACTTGTAATCATACTCAAGTGACAGAGAATTGAAATACAATGCTTGTCAAAATTCCCAAATCGTCCCATGCAAAGCAATACAAGAAAAAGTTGCCTGGTATTCTTAAATACAGATGTAACTAGGAGATATAGCCTTTGAATTTTTAGCTTAACTAGTGCATGGGTTTTTTAATTCTTTAAAGTAATCAACTACGATTCAGATCTTAATAGAAAAGTATTAAAAATATAATTGATCAGTGAATAAATCAGTTTAAATGTGGACCGTTTATCTAACACATGATTGGTAGAAGACGTATGCTTTTTAATTTTTATATTAATATATCTTTTATATTCAAGGAAAGATCACGAGAGATGTGCTTTGTTCTTAATCAATAGGATGTAAATTAATTGAAGCAATAAAAAAAATCAAATTTTTTTTTAAAAGTGAAAATGACTATTAATTTTCCAATTTCAATATGAATATTTTACTAAAAATATCTTTGCCATTTGATGCACAAAATGCAAGAATTCCAAATTATCACAATATTGAAAAGGGATAATATTACTATAACTGTAAAACCTGCATCGGTCCCATACGTGTCAGCAACACGTGACCGAGTTTAACCTGGCTCAGTTCACTTCCCAATCCAAAAACGGAAGATGCTTAAGAATATTCCCACCTTTTGTGAATCTCAACCCTATCCTATTAGATTTACGGACAAGTCCCCACCTTGATCATTTTTTCCCTATATAAACCCCCCCTCCTCCTCTCTCGCTTTCAAACTCATTTTCATCGCAGCTTCCCTCTCAAACGTCAAGAAATCAAACTCTATTTCTCTACTCTAATGGCCATGGATTCCTCTTTTTCTCTATCTCAGTCTGACCAAGAAAATCTCTTGGAAGAACTTGGTATTTTCAAGATTCAAGGCCGTGATAAAGTTGGCCGTAAGGTTCTTCTCATCACCGGCAAGCACTTCCCTGGTAAGGACAGCATGCAGTTTACTTGAGGCATTTTTTGGGATTTATTTTTCTATTTTTGTTGGAAAAGTAACCTTTTTTGTGGGGTTTTAGCTCGGGAGGTGAGCGGTGAGGTGTTGAAGAAGTACTTGGAGGAGAAAATATATCCAAAATTAGAAGAAAAACCATTTTCGGTGGTGTATATGCACACAGATGTTCAAAGGAGTGAGAATCTCCCTGGGATTTCGACCCTTCGATCAATTTACGAGGATATTCCGATCAGCGTCAAGAATCATCTTGAATCTATTTACTTTTTGCATCCGGGCCTTCAAGCCAGGCTCTTTCTTGCCACTCTTGGTCGTTTTCTGTTCAGTGGAGGGTAAGATAACAAGACTCTTGCCTTTTCTGAGGGTCCCCTTGTAGCCTTTTTGACCTAGCTCCACTCACATGGAAAGTGCTTAAGGTTTTGGAGCATGATTCATTGGTGCTTGGTAGGTGTTAATTGCTGGATTGACTTTAATTAATTGATTGATTAACGGGTGTGATCAGGTTATACTCGAAGCTGAGATACGTGACAAGGCTGGAGTTTCTTTGGGACCATGTGAGGAGGAGTGAGATTGAGATACCGGAATTTGCTTATGATCATGATGAGGAGCTGGAGTACCGTCCGATGATGGATTATGGATTAGAGAGTGATCACCCTGGATTGTACGGCGGGTCATCTATGGATAACAGTCATCTTTTATTGTATTCAACGCGAGGCATCGCGTAGCATTCGGATGTTTTTGGGGTTACTTTCTATGTATAAATTGGAGGATGGAATGTCGTTTTCGTTTCCCCCTTTTTTTTTTTTTTTGAAATTAAGAGCGCCTTGTTCTTGGCATTATGAACTAGCGGTGTTGAAATTAACAGCACGACCATGGTTGTTTAACCGTTTTGGCCAGCCGTGACCGGTTGATGAAGAAAACGAATAGTTGATTTTCCAGTTAAATATTGATTTAATTGGGTTTTTAATGACTCGTTTAATCTGGTTAATCTCACAGGGAAAAATAAATTTTCTTCAATTTAGTTTTCGGGTCTCAATTTAACTGATTAATAAAACTCAAATTAATAAAAATGATTTTTTTGGGCTTAAATGGTTAAGGAGGGTTAAAATGTAAAATTGAAAACCATGAATTTAAAGATTGCTCTTGTTGATTTCTGAGTCAAACCAAATTAAATGTTGATTTAATTGAATTTTTAGTGATTTGATTTAAATTTAATTTTAAATTAGTTAACATGAAAGAAAAAAAATAATTGATTCAAGTTGGAATGGTCATGTTTATTTTTTTTTTTAGATTAATATAGGTATATAGATCAACTTATGCGTATCACTATTAATTTCATAAATACTGAAGTTAATAAGAACATGAGATTATAAAAAGAACAAATCTTTTAATTCTAAATTTTTACTATTTGACCATTATTAGTTTTGGTATAGTCGTATGATCTTAATTTAATTGATTAATGAAACTAAAATTAATAAAAATGATTTTTTAAGGAGTTAAAATATAAAACTGAACGAGTTTGGGCTGCATGAAGATTTGTAGTGAAGATTGTTACTTAATATCAACAACTGCTTTCAGGTTATTAACAGGATTTTGATTGAAGCAAGTATTGGTGAGCCAAATATCAATTCTCTAAGGGACAAGGTATATCAATACGCAAGAGTCAGAGGAATATGTGAGGAGTGTGCAGAATTAAGATTATTCGAGAAAAAATAATTTCAAAAGAAATCTATAAGCATCGGAAAAAAAGAGAGACAATACAATCCTTCAGGCCTAAAGAAATTTTGGTAAAAGCCTAATTAGGTAGCAAGCGGGCCTACAATTTGCGAAATAATAGAGTGCAAGTCCATCATATGCTACTGGCCTGTGCAGTCTCCCAAGAAAATCTACGTCTACAAGTGCAAGTTTTCAGAGATTAATCCGCCGCAGGCCGAAGGGATTGGCGAGCTCAGGGTTTTTCGAAGCCCTTTTGGAGGGTGAAGTCCATATGAAAATAGGGAAAACAATATTGGTAAACTTCTGGTTCTTGATCCGATTGGGATACGGTGAAGTTACATCAAATCTATAAATAGGGGACCCTAGCTTTGATTCTTGCACAACAAATCCTGGTATAGTTTTCTTTCAAAGGTTCATATTCCTTGGAAATTTATTTTGCTATAATGGGGAATTGCTTGATCCCGCCAGTGAAACCTGATGAACGTTTCAGCAAGAAAAGTAATCCTGCGCTACCACCAGACCTTCCAGCCGAAGATAGCAATCAAGTTAAGCCGCCGCCGCCGCAGAGGTTATTCAACAGGGAAAACAATGGCAAACTAACTGAAGCTCAAGTTGAAGAAGAAGGCCGTGGCGCTCTACTGCTCCCATCGCCACAATGCAGGGAGGCAAGTAACCCTGAATCAGTTAAAGTTCACAGACAAATCGTAGCTAGAGTTGAAGAACGCACTGGCGCTCTTCTACTCCCACATCAAGTATTCGAGAAAGCAAGTAACTGTGGATCTGTTGATGCTCAAAAACAAACCAAAGCTCAAGTTGAAGAACGCGGCGGCGCTCTACTGCTCCCGCACCAACTAATAAAGAAAGCAAACAACTGTGGCCTCGTTGAAACTCAAGCTGGAAAACGCTATCCTGGTGTACTGCTTCCCCATGAATTTTTCCAACTTTATGAATTAGAGAGCAATCACCCAAGAACCTGCAACGGGCAATGATTCGGTTTCATTGTACTCATTGGAGAGCGTTACTATTTTTGTAGCTACCCGATTCTTTTTCGCTAGTGTTCAAACTTTTCCATGTATTCGTTTCTGTTTATTAAGAGTTTTCAGGAGTTTTTGCACAGATTCTAGAACGAGTATTTTATATACCATAATTAAAACGATCTTAATCCATAATCCTGAAAAATTAACCACTAAATCTGTTTTTTCATAATTTCTACCAAGACAATGTGTTAGCTTTTTTACCCCGTGAGAGGACTCTAGCTTAGTTGAGAAAAGAAGGCAAAAAAACACACATACCAAGTCCCATTTTTTCTCTTGTTCTTCTAAGTTTTCCCAGCAACCAAACAGATGGAAAGAAGAGACAGAATACGAGGCAAAAGGCTGGGGTGCAGGCTAGGTATTCATAATCAATATATTAGAAGGAAACGGAAGATTGCAGGCACTCATCTTAGCAGGAATAGAGCTAGAATTTTCTATCCAATAAGAGATAGCAAATCAAGAAACGAATAAATGCACACAAACATTAATTTTCCAGTAAAATGCCGAGTGACCATTGAAGTTAAACATGTAATGGGCATACAAAACAAAGCTCTTGTGACCAAGAAAACGAGTGCCACCGCAGACCCTCCCACATTCACCACTTGTATATCTTCATAGGAGTTCTTATTTCCTCCGTTTAATAGCTTGTACGATTTTTCATGTTGTTATAGTCACACCACATCAAGTCACAAAAATCCAAGCCCTGGAAACAATCCCAGACAAAGACAATGCTTCACTTATCAGCTCTGCCGTACTCATGCAAACAGAACGTTACCGAATAACTAAGTTTTTAAACACCCTTACTGTACACAGTTGCTGAACAACTAAACCCCAGAGATAATATTTTCATTGACTTCTAAGTTGCTTTAGAAAGCAAATGCCAAGCATCAATTAACTGTTAATTAAATAAAATAACTGGTAAGGGAGACCATAAGAACCTAAACCCAGTTGTAATAATTCCAAAAAGAGTAAAAGCAATCAGTTTATGGATAGTGAAGTAAGATAAGTTTCCCTAAGTTGTACACTCAGTCATGTTTTCAACCATAGTGCTTTCCCTGCCATTTTTGTCTTCAATGGTGATATTGTCTCCATTGTCGCAAACACGAAGATCGGGATAGTTTCAGTAGTTGAGAGAATGCAACCACAGAGCCACTGATCCTTCCTTGTGTTCCGTTGTAGCAATGTGTGAGTATATGTGCTGCATCTTGAATTCCTCTGCTTCCTCTTCGTAATCTTTCATGGAAAGTTCTTCATGGCTGTCTTTCCATTTCTGGTTATATGATGTGAAAAAGCACTCATCCAAGTATAACCCAACCTCGGGAGCTGTAGGCACATTGATGTTAACATTCCTGTAAATTTGGTAAAACATTGATTAGAGAAAAACATCAGTGATACGAGAACACAGCCCATTGAAAGGGAAAAAGATTAGAAGTCCTTACTTTTGCAGAGCAGTTTGTATCAACGACTCAGATGCACAGTTCCTCATAATAGCCACGGCAACACCAATCATCTTCCGTATCTGATGAAGCATGAAACTCTGCCCAACAACCTCACACTTCACAAACTCAATGCCTTCAACAGTAACTGTAGTCTTCGCATCAAATGAAATGATGTAGCGCTGAGCAGAGGGGTCTTCAGCCTTAGTTCTAGTGGTAAAATTATGGAAGTTATGACTCCCCACATAATAATTCAATATTCGATTGAATCTCTCTTTCTCCTTCTCTCCGTAACAAAATCCACTTCCCTTGATCGCTTCCTCTTCTGATTTTGTATTTTTATCATCACCATTCTCAATGGACACCATCATCTCATCTTTAATTTCCGGGTTGGCATTAGCATCTTCACTGTTTGATGAAATGCCTGACTCAGTCGTTTCAGATTTTTTACCGCTGTCTTCATTTTGAAAGACCTTAGTTTCATCAACAGGTTCAGAATTCCTAATATCTCCATCACCATTATCCATAAGACCACTGACCTCCTCTTTAATTTCATATTTTAGAGTAGTATCTTTATCATTTGACCAAATTTCTGTTGGGGAAACATCAGATTTTGATTCAAAGCTGCGCTTACCAACAGCACCAACAACCTTACGCCCTCTTTCCGAACACTGCAAGCACTTAACAAGCTCACTACCAGACCCTAAACTAGCTAACACGCTCTCCCTATCACGATGCGAGCAAGGATTAAGAGCAAAGACAGGAATTAAATAGACGTACCTTCTCCGATCACAAAACTTCTTAGCATTAAACGAACCCGTCACTCTCTTGTACCCGAAAATCCTAATCTGAGGAGAAAGATTTGAATGCAAGCGTTCCACAAGTCCAGGCGGGTCGATGTAGAACCGGCCCGAGACAACCTGCCCCACAGCGCTCACGCCCTTGTCAGTACGAGCAGAACGAGCCCAGTCATAGCGCTTGGGGATGCCACGGTCATGTTCAGGGACAGCACCGGCGTGAAAAAGGGCCTCTTCGAGGTCCCCTTCTATGGTTTTGGCACCTGGGTTCTTCTGCATACCTTGATAGCCAACGCCGCAGTATGCGAAGAATATTGCGATTTTGCGGCGCTTGTATCTTTGCTTTTTAATGGTTGTGTCGTCACCGGGGGTTGTGGTGGCGGCGTCTTCGTCCTCGGAGGTTGTAGCGGACATCTTGGGCCTTTTGAGGTCTGATTCTTGCTGCGGTGGTGGTGATGTTGTGGTTTTTGAATCCGGGGTTTCCATTTTTTCGTTTATAAGATCAAGTTATCCATTAAATTGTCAACATTGCTTGCTTTCCATCCCCTGGTAAAACCCTAGAGTCGGAGACCTTGTTTAAAATGGGAACGTTCCTACGCGGGAGGTTTGACAGGAATAATGTGTTCCCTAGGGTGTTTTGTTGTGATTGATATAATGTGTTGTGATTTAAAAAAAATATTTTCAATTGTTATTTTAAGAAATGAGTTTTAAAAAATATATTTGGTTTAAAATATGAAGATGATTTTCTACATGAAAAATAGATCGTCATGAATAAAAAATAGTTTTTATAAAATTAAAATTTAAAATGCAATTATATATAATATTTAAGACAAAACATATAAATTATTTGATTAACCAAATTGTTTTTTCTTCCTGGTTGGGCAAAAAACAAAAGCTAACATGATACTAAATAATCTCCTAGTTACGAAGAGTGTGACCATATTTTTAATCTAGTAGTTTCTTACAATATATCATTATGTGTTTGATTCTACAATAATTGTTCAACCTAGTTGAAACTGATATAAAAAAGAATCTGGATTAATATTTTTATTCAAAATAAAGCATTATATATATATATATATACATCTTTGTTTATGTTAACCTAGCCGTATTTGAATCAGGTTAATAGTTGGTTTGACAAAGTTAATTACATTATATATTTATCCAATTAAGTTCATAGAATTTTGTTAGATAAATACATATTTTTTTAAATTTAAAATCTAATTCAAATTTTGATTTAACTTAACAAATGAAGTCAAATTTAATAGTTGTGATTTTAGCATCATGATTAATCTAGAAATTTTAATTGAGACTCGAGAGTTCATCACTTATCGAAGTTATATATGTAATTTTAGAACTTATTTATTTTTGCGTTTCAAAAATATGTGTAATAAAAATAAATTATTTTTATTTTTTTATTTGTTTCAAATTATTTATGTTATATATTTTCAAATTGTTTTGATGTGTTGATATCAAAAATAATTTTTTAAAATATATATATTTTTAATATATTTCCAAATAAAAAATATTTTTTTAAAATACAATTACTACCACAGTACCAAACAAACTCTTAATAGCCGAGTTCAAAGTTTAAGCAATGCCAACTAGTAAAAACAAATGATAATTATATAAGATTTCACTATTCATCCTCTCACACATTATCGTAAATAGGTTGTGCAAAATTTTATATTTTTTTAATTTGCTCTTCAAATTTTTTTTAATGATTTTGTTTTAATTGAAGACCAATTGATTTTAGTTTCTTATAAAAAGACAAGATTGAAAAAAGAGAGACCGAAATGAAAAAATAAATAAATCAAACATGGATAGCATGCCATGAGTTTTACAAAAGTTGTACTCTGATTATTGAATTTTAAAAATCATGCAAACTATACAATTCTAGTACCTTAATATTTTTCCAATTCAATCTTGGTACAAAAATATTTATTTTTGTTATTTTTAATCATTGGTTAAGAGATGAGAGAGAGGAAGGTCACTGAACTCCAATGGTAGAAAAAAAATATTATTGACACTGATTTAAACCACTAAAATGGATGATATTCATATTAAATGGTTTTATTTGACGAGAGGAGTTCATATTAAGTATTTTTTTTTAACTTTTAAAGTTCGTGGAAAAAAATATTTATGCTCAGGTTGATTTTTAAATTCGGGTTGATTTCAGTTTTTAGAGACGGTTTTTTCAAGGTTTTTTAGGTCAACCATGAGAGGTTTATCATGGTTTTTACGATGTTTTATGGATGTCTGAGTAAAAAAAATGAGTTGAAAAACAAGTTTAGGAATAAAAAAATCTTAAATCCTAGTTCTCTGGTTATCATAATAATTGGAATTTAAGCAAATCAATTAATGCATAGTTTGTCTAAAAAATTAAAGGCTTAATCACACGAGCCCTGCTAAGCTAGTGCATGTCTTGACAAAATAGGTCGGGCTAAGCCTAGCAATGCTTAATCTTTGCTTTTTGCTTTTTTTCTATTTTTTGTTAATTAGTGATTTTTATAGTTTATTTCCTATTTTTTTAATTTATATTTAAATTGGCACTCATTCTCTTTTTTATTTTGTTTTGAGAACTTGTTTTAAATTATAGTTATTTTTTTAGCTATGCATTTAAATTTGAAAAGTTTTTCTTATTTATTTTTTAATCTTTTATATAGATGAATTTTATTTTTTAAAATAAAAAATATTTTAAAATAATATTTCTAATATTAGCTAATATTGATGGTTATACATAACAAATACTTCAACAACCACGAGGGCATGTAGCCAACAATCATGAGATTACTAACTTGTCATGCCATGTTTACTTTTAAATTCATCTGAACACACCTGTGAAAGTG